GATACTCGCAGCTCGCAGGCAGCAACATTTGTAAGGAAATGAGGAAAATCAAAGGCATTTTGTATCCTTGTTTTAAAATAAGTGTATCTACTGAAACAAGGCGCTGATGCAGTATTATATCCAGTCATATCTCAGCATAGAAGTAGCCTACGTAGTGCTCCCATCACATGGACTGGAGCTGCAAATAGAGCTGCTGGGTTGAGTCACCTCCTTTTACAAAGTACTGTGCTTTGATGCTAAGGTAGCTCTTATGTTTGGTACTGGCCAACGGAGGCTAACGTGCTGCTGTCACTTTCAGACAGTTTACAGTTGAGAGGTGCAAATGTGAACTCGAGCCTCAGAAAGGAAGCAAACAGGTCACTTTAAGAGTAATCGACTGTAGTCGTAACTTTACCTTCATGACCATTTTGTCCAAGTCCACAACCATGTTATGGAGATTCTCCTCTGCTGCTAAAACCAGCGGGCGAACAGAGGATATCTTCAGCCCTTTGGACTCGTCAATCACTGACCTGAGACTGTCCAAGGACTCGCTGCGAGGAAAGAGATGTGCAAAGTGTAACTATAACGTTTCCTTGCTGATACGGAAGACTGCCAAAATAACTAAATTAGGCTGAGATGCACTCATCACACCCCTGAAAGCTGAGTGATTATTACATCTTTCAGATTAACCGTGTGCCACACTGGTCATCAGAATTAAAGAAACACTTTTACTCTAAGCAGAAGAAATCATATTTAAAGAAAGTTTGAAAATCACAAATGTTCTAAGTGGAAAAGAAGGAGAATTCTTCTTCACACACATTCAAGTTTGTAATAAGTATGTGTGTGTGTGTTTGTGTTACTTTGCTTTCGACAGAGCAGCTCTGGCATCGTTCAAAGCCGTGGTTCTATCAGCAAGAGCAGCTTCCAGGTCCTTCCACTGGTTTGACTTCTCCTCAGGTAGAACCTAAGTTTAAGAAGAACTTCAGTAACTGCAAAACAGCGACGCTTCCCATTCAGTGTGCCGTGTACAGTGTACTAATACAGTGTTGTGGTGGGTGGACCACACAGGCCACAGCAAGCAATGTATCTGATTAAAAACAAGAGTACACAGGTCTTCAGTGACAGCGCTGCTGTGAGACGATGCAGACGAGCCCAGTCCAGTGGGCTGCAGGACATGTGGGCTTGAGGCAAAGATGGAGTCCTGCCTCGTTCATCAGCCTTGATGGAGCGTTTGCAGGTGTGAGCTGAGGAGGTCAAATAAATACATAGAAACATTCATGTGGAATTAAGATACTCATTCGCAACAGTATCCATCAGGCAGGCAGGCGCACACACAGCTCCACCCTCAGCTGTAGTAACACTGAACAAGACTTTACTGGCATCAGATTCTATTTAGCAGTTATTATAAATGTGACCAGCGCACACGTTACCATTAGTCATCTAATGTAAGGTAATCCTATTACTTTGTTACTCTATTGAAGTAGGTATCTGTACTTTACTTGAGTATTTAATTTTTACTTT